CCGAACCGAGAACCGCGAGCGTGGAACCTCGCATAAACTTCATGACAGGGAGCTGGAAGGTGTATGGGCCGTGCGTGGCCAGTTGCACACCCTTGGGTGCAATCCTCAGAGAGACCCTTCTCAGGTGAAGGTGATCCAGACACTCCTCTTGCAAGACGATTTAGTCAAATCTTTGTTGCCCTTCGGCCCTGCATCTCACCAGGCCGAGGTGCATCATCTTCGCACTCACGAGCTCCGGTGCCATGATCTCCTGAGGGAGGGCAGAACCTCTTCTACACGATGAGAGCACGTCTACCCTGGCTTCGGGAACACCTCAGAAGGTACGGGTTGCGGCATCAGAATTCGGAAACCTCCCGACGTCGAGCCCCTGTCCCACACTGTACAGATGCAGGCACACTTGTGGCATCTCAATAAACACGTTGAGGAATCTAGCGATAGGCTCACCCCTTCTGCCGGCAGGTCGTGTTCGGAACGCAGACTCCGAGGCTGTATATCTCCTGAACCTACGGAGCTTTTGAACGAAGCATCGATCATACAAGCCATGTCACCTGTCGTCTGCTTGACTGACCGGGATATGCAGCTCAGTCACGGTGGTGCCAACACAGCTTCGAGCCACGGTGCCAGAGAGGTTCCTTGTTGCTGCGTTTCTGTGCAGGTCACTCGTACGCCATGCTGGTTGCTGGCACATTCTGCGCTCCCAGGACTCCCTGGAAGCCCCTGTTTACCTGCCCCGCTGTACATACCCTGTCTCCCGTGCTGCAGCAGAAAGTGTACTCCACCACGTCTCTGTGATGCTGAGACCTCTTGTGGATGCAGATCGCCACACCGCTTGGGGTTCGGTGTGCACCTCCGCAGCACGCCGTTATCGTCAGACTTCTTCTCTTTTTTTTCCCTTCGTTCAGAACCCGCCGCGATACCAAGGCAACTTGGTTGCATGCTTGCTGGCTGGCTTCCGTGGGCACCTGCTCGTGGTTTCAGAAGGCCCAGGGTCCAGGTCGGGCCAAGGGCCCACCTTCGGTTCACTGGGGCCTTTCTCTTGCGGGCCTTCACTTGTGGATGTCAGGAAGATCCGAAAGAAGCTCCCTTTTCCCCCGTCCCTCGAATTCGTCTGTATTTTCAGTGCATCTGTACTGTACTGACACACGAAGCGAGCGAGTGAGTGAGAAAGCGGTCGCAGCCTAACGCCATCCCGGCTTAGCAAAGGATCGGGCACGCTGGCACAGGGCTCAATTCGGTGTGTTTTCTCATACTGTCGGTGGGTGCACTGACGAAACCTTCAAGCCGATCAGCTGTCGAAGTTTTAGCGCTCATGCCCTCTCTAAGTGGCTTCATCTCCCGCCTCTGCGCAGTCTTCCGCGATCCAAGCTCTCAGTCTCTTCCCCCTTGTGTCTGTCGGCTGGTCTGACCGAGCTGCTTTGCCACGCCGAAGTCGATCAGCTTGACCTCGGCACTGAAGGCAACATTCGAGTTGTGTTAAACAGCATGGAGCTGGCTTCAATGCTCCTCGAATCACCTATCAGCGTAACAATTCCTCGAGTCTGGGCATCTCCACTAGGCCGCTGACAGGAGTTTGGGCAGTGAGCTGCTGGGCACAGACCTCGCAGGCCAACAGTTGATGGCTTTGCAACAACTAAACAATCCGTATTCTAAGGGGGGTCTGTCTGCGCTTGTCATGCTCCTCATTGCCTGCGCCCTGGGGCCTAAGACGCTCATCCCAAGAGCAGGGAGCCAATGCAAACTGCAAGCTTTTTGCAAGTCGAGTGGCGAGGATGTTCTCCGCCTTCAGGTCTCGGTGGACGATGTCCCTCTCCTTACAAAGACGAATCATCCTTCGGACATTAGCCGAAGCAGTCCCGAAGCATGTGAGAGAAGCCCAAGCCCAAACCTTAGAAGCCAATTGAAGCAGGCGGCATGGATGAACTTGAGGCCCATGGCAGTCTGCTTGGTGACGCTCTTCACGACATCCTGCGACTTCACCCGGCACAGTTGATGCTGTATGCCGGTGCTCCACCCAGCATTTAGGCCAAATGCCCTGAAGCGCTCTCTGATCCAAATCATTACCTGCACTGTCTGAAGCCGGAAAAGACAGCGAGGCGAGGGATCTCCTCCGGCAGGCTGGTCTGCCCGTCTTTGATGTAGCCTGGGTCTGTGGCGATAGGTCGGCATGCTAGGGAGCTTCAGCCACGGGCATCCAAGACTGTGTCAGGCGAGCCTGCAAGCTCTCCACCGTCGACGAGCTCCATGACAATCATGATGTACTGAGCCTGCGGAGACTCACCAAACGAGCCCAACAAGAAAGCTCCAGCCGTTGCGCGGATGGTCCACCTGCGAAGTGCCCGGCCGGTAGGCATCGAAGCAGCCCAGGCAAGCGCAAATGTTGGGATGGCCCTGGATTTTCATCAGCACCTGGGACGAAACGCTGCCTTTGAACCGAGTCCTCGCAACTGAAGCACATGAAGCCTCGGTCTCTTTGCGGATGTCCGCGATCTTCTCGTCACAGGAGGGATCCTGCGGCATCGACAGCTAGGATCCGTCGGACTGCGGCCGGGCGCACAGCGCTCCATGAGCAGTCGCCAGATGGGGATGGTCTTTACGGCGTGCTTCACGTTCGGAGTGCTCCTTACAAACCCAGGATTGGGAACAACGTCATCGGAAGGGCTCTTGAGCCAAGCCACTGCTTGTGGCAGAGGTAGACGGTTCCCTGTCCGCCAACACCGAGGACCTTGTCTGTCTCGATGACGAAAGGATCCTCATTGGGAAGCCCATTAAAGGGGGCGGGACCTTCATTGTCTGTCTCTGCTTTTTTGATCCCCTGTTTTGTTGGCTCCTCCGGAGGGCCGAAGACCTTGAACTGCTCAATGGAGCCGAGCGCCTTCGAGGGGCTCAGGGCACTGCATGGCACCTGCCCTGGGACCCTTGTTTGGGGTTCAAGGGTCGTCTTGGTCTGATCGTGCGGAAGCACACCGGAGAGGGCCTGAAATCCAAGGTTAGAAGCCCCAGTGCAGGCAACTAGACTTCCAGAGCAGCCGGCAGAGCTCCCCAAAAAGCAGTGCCAAGCCCCGGTCCTTCCCGGAGCAGAGCACCGGAGCAGAGCACAAAAAAAAACCAGGGCGGCGCCTTGGTGGCCACCCGGGCACCGCGGGCCGCTCGCTTCTGGCGCAGCAGGGCTCACAGCAGGGTTTTAGTGTTTGGGGGTTTAGGGTTTCGGGGCTTTTAGGGTTTAGGGGTTTAAGGGTTCAGTGGTTTAGGGCAAGCTTCTTCGACAGTCTTCTTCACACTGCTCATGCGCCCACCTCGGTGCCAGCACGGCGTGCCAGTGACGCGCCAAGGCAGAGTGCTGCCGCACCCACGGCAGTCGCAGCGGATCCCTGGTAGCCTGGCCGTGAAGCCGTGTGCAGAGCTCCCAAGCGAAGGGCACAGAACATGCAGCATACAAACTGATGAGAGCGGGTACAAAGCGGACTTGACCTGACAAGTCCGGGAGCTGAAGTAAGCGAGCTGGTGGCTGATGCCCCGCCCCAAAATATGTCCCGAAGCTTCGGCCAAAAGAACGCCCCCGCCTTGGCTCGGGGCCTCTGCGCCGCGCAGGGCTGGGGTGCCCTGGACAGGGCTCAGGGCGGCCACGGACCTGAGCCACGTGACTGAGGCCAACAAAGCTTGCGTAGTCGAACACAGCTAGTAGACGGAGAATCAAACATGGGGCTATGCGCAGAATCGCGCCTCCCTGGCCTGGGGGGTAGTGACTGCAGTCTTGAAGAGGGGCGAGACAGAACTGAATCAAATCAACACCTCAAGCGAAGCCAAGCTCAATGGGCATGATTTGCTGCCAGGTGTCTGGGCGGGTGTCTGCACAAAGGTCACCTCAGCACGCTGCAGACTATCCATTCAAGAAATTCGAAGTGGGTGACAGCCTGCAGCCAGTCACTCAATCCACAAATTCCTACTGCCCCACAGAGCCCCGAAGCCACAGTAGCTCAATATCCTCAAGACCTCGAAAGCAAAGAGAAGAGCAGCCGAAGGCCAAAGCGAGGCCACCTATCACTACGGTTGCTCCCTTAATGCGAGCGACGCTCATGGCTGATGCTGCGTAGACCGAGGTCGCAGGCAAAGCTCTAACAACGGCTCGAACAAAAATTCTGCGGAAGGTGGGGACTGGCCAAACCACACCTCTGCCACAGCAAACAGCGCAGGCCAAGAATGAAAAAAGTCTCTGGATGGAGATGTACCAACTTGAATAGTGCAAGATCTTAGACTGCAGTGTGCGGATCAATAGCTCGCTGCCTGTTGCATAGGAAGCTATGGGGCTATGGGTGCAAAGCCCATAAAGTGCTACTGCTAAAGCCTGGCAAAATGCAGATCGCCACTTTGGGATCAAGGTCAGCGCTCACAAATGGGTCTTCGGACCTTTATCCCGTGCCCAGGTGAAACGCCCAGCCTAGCAGGAGGTGCAAACAACGAACCCCGGCTACACATCCTGCCTCGGCACGACGTGTTGCTGCAGGAAACACCCTCGCCCCTCGCACAAGCTGTAGCACCGTAGGAGAGCCTGACTCCAGAACGACAACCTCGCCTCACCTGCGCAATGCAAACCTGGCCCCCGCCTCGCCACCGAATCCTCAGCGTAAACTCAACGCGATACACCACAGCGGAACCCAGGGTTCAGTTCGCTCAAACTCCCGCGGGAACCCTCTCTTCCGCTTCACACTTCTGATACAAAGGCTGTTGTCGTGCAAGACCAATCTGCAGAAGACAGGGTTCTTGGGATACGTTATCGTGGAAAACGCTCAGGCACCATCTCGACCTCGCAGCACACTGGCGCTCAAAAGCAAGGACGAAGCCAGAGACCTTTGTCTGAGTGCTAACGACCCGAAGCTACACATCTTGCGTGGCGTGCATACCCAAGCAGCATCAGCATGAGTTTGCAAATCGAAGGTGTCCTTGACATTCCTCGACCCGGTGCCGCTGGTGAGTCTGGCCGAGGCTGACGCACTTGTGGGGCATTATGCGTCTGCATCTGGCCTGACGAAGGAGCTGCTTCCGCACTGACCACTGCGAGACCGAGACCCACTAGAAGCCCCTCAAACACACAGGAAAGTCTTTCCCCTTTCACTCGAAGCCAAGATACAGGACCAGGGGCATGTCGTAAGGGTCCTCTGGAGGAACGCCCTCCAAGAGCTGCTGTGCATACTCCTGGCCCCATGGGGCCCATATTTGGCTCTTCTTCTGGGGCTTCACACTCTCCCACAAAAGGTTTCGAGCACGTGTTCGAGGACAGAGAATCAACCCTACTTCCCCGGTTGTGTTGGACTGAGCTGGCCAAAGGGTCATTAGCTTGGCCTTCACATTTCACTGACCGAACAGACCGCTTCTCCATGCCTCGGTCAAGAGCTGGGGCGCAAGGCGGTCTGCCAGAGCATGGTGGTTCCGAGGGGCGCAGGTGGCCTGGCTTCGGAAAGGGTTCGAGACAAAAGGAAACTACACCTTGTGCCTTTGCGACTTGCTTTAAAAAGACTGACACACCGCACAGCCCCTGAAAAACCTGGTTGTTGGGGTGCCGGCCAACCTTGTGTCCGGCACAGAAGAAGACGCCCTCCCCAGAAACGAAGACGTCCACCTGAGAGCACGAATCAAAGAGCCCCCCGAAACGGGGACGCCTCCCGTCGCCGACGTTACATGCCCAAGATGCCCAAGCACCCGACCGGTTCTTTGGCGGCTGTGGCCTTCCAGTCCTGAGTGGAGAGAAGACAACTTCTGGTTCCAGCTCGGCGTGGGCCTTCTAATGAAACCCCAAAAGAGAGAAGCAGCTGGGGGACAGGGTGGGAGGACAAAGAGCCCGCCGCTGGTCTGAAAGAAATGCGGGCCCCAGAACTTCGTTTCGAAATGGCCACATTTTGATACGGCCTTGCCCTGGCAACAGATTTTGGTCCCAGCATCCGGGTGACAGCCCACGCGCCGCTGGATGATGGAGTAATAGTCCTGCCAAAGCTCGAGAAGGGTCTCTTTCCTCTGGGCTTCGCACGCCTACCTAGAGATAGTTTTCCAAGGGCGATCGCAACACCGGTCCGATCAATCGGTACTCCATAATTCACCTCACCATGTAGATCTTGTCTAGAACAGCTTCCGATAGACTGCCGACCGAGAGCTTCTTGGGACCCCCAGGAAGGACATGCGAAACCTGCCCTGCCGTTGGGCGGCTACAGCACCGTTCAGCAGAAGACTTCTTGGGATTGGGCCGTCCACCGCGAAACGGCACGGCAGGCGCCCCCCACCAGGGTGGTCACCTCTCCAACACGTGGCCATGCAGCTCTCAGGGACCTGCACCAGGGCCGGCGACCCTGGGGCCCGGGCCGTCTTCTTCTTGAGATACAGCTCGATGTAGCGGATCCTGAGCCCGGGAGGTTGGTTGGAGATGAATTGCCTTCTAAAGGCGTCTGCAAGTTACGGCCATGGCGACTAAATCCGTCACAAGAAGGTGTTACCCCAGCATCCCAAAGGCCTGCGGAAGTTGTCAAGCACGAACAGATGCAGACCTGTCCAGGCAGGGCGGTGTGCTGGCTTGGGAATCCTGATGCGCTGGTGTAATCGTTTCCGACAACAAGTACGAGCCACAACAAACTGCGTTATTGCTGCGCTGTCACCATGTTCCGAGGGCTCAAGTTTGTACCCATCCATCCAGGGTCAAAACCATGGCTTTGTTTCATCTGGCCACAGCGACCGCTTCTGCCTGGCTTGCAAACGTAGACACCTACTCCCCGATGGCTTTCAGGGCTTCGGCCCCAGGCTTCTGCCAGGGAAATCTCTGCCACTGAGGTGAACACACGCCACCGATGCCATGCAAGCAGCCACGTCCCCCAAGTAGCACACGACAGTACAGTCACGCAAAAGCGCGGTGAACGTAGATTTCCCACCGGCCAACAAAAAAGAGTTCGACAAGCAAGCACGAACCAAATCTTCGAAGACCACATCTCCTCCCCAAGCTCAGGTACGACACACCTTTTCAACGTGTCGCATCCTATGGCAAAGCGCAAAAGCTGTATCCAGTGACAGGGTGCTAATTCAAACTTGGACATGCTCTTTCTTACGACAGATGATCAGAACAAGGAAATGCTGTGATAGACACTCATCAGGCTAGTCCATCCCATAGCGCAGTCCTGCAGCCGCTCTCTCTGAAGCTGTTGTAGGAGTCGTGGGCTGTCTGTTTGCAGAACTGACGAGAGGGGCCCTTCTGCTGGGGGGGCGAACGATGTCCTTGGCATACCTTCGGTGCGTCCAGAACGGGGGGGGGGGCAATGCAGCTGCCGCCTCCATAACGGAGTCAGCGAGAAAGGTCATGGCAGCTACCTGTGCTTCCTTCTCAGTGTCTGCGTCTCCGCTGACCGTCTTGTCCAAATACGCTGGGGTGCTCAATGCCTGGAATCTCCCGCCCTCCAACATTTGGCAAGTGTAGTAATCAGCAATGTTCTGGACGTTGCGGTTGGCATCATATCGATCGGCACCTTTCTTGACGTTGCGACCGGCATATCTGCCAAAAAATACATGAACAGTTTGCCTTGGTGGGCCACAGGTCAAGTGCAGCCTTTCAGATGTCATGATGTCCTGCTCGGAAATGCGCTTTGTCTTGCCCTTGCGCGGCAAGGGCGGATTGGTCTTTGGAGGATTCTCTGGAAGACTCTCCTTGCTTCAGCTTGCCACAGGGAATTCAGAGCACGGCTTGAGTGGACATCCACTGCAGCTGCGCAGCTACAAGGCTCTCAGATGGCACAACGAAATCTTCCTCGCAACGAGCATGAAAACAAAGAGAGAAAGACTGAATCTTCAATGCTTCTGACGCCTTCAGAGTCCATGCCTAAGCCCGAAGGCTCGTCGAATTGAGCCTCCTGTCCGGGCCTCACGCCATGAGCAATGCTTCAATGCTTCCATGCGCTCCGCTTCGACAGTCAAAATCCATCTCTGCATTGCAGGGAGTTTGAAGCATTAGCTGACGGCAGAATCTTGGGGCACCACCCATCCCTCCAACCTCGCGTGTCCTTGGAGCCTCGTGCTTGCAGCGACGGCTGAGTGGGATGCCACGACCGGGCCCGCCTGCGATTGTCGCAACGCGTCCCGAGTCGTAGTTCAGGACGCGAATGCAGTGGTTACCACCTGACACGGAGTCCCGGAAAGGCCAACTTGAGGGAGCACGAGCGCTGCTGATCTTGACACCTACGAAGTTATCACCTACGCCGAAGGCGGAGCTAGCTGGCATGGAATGCTTCGTCACAACAGAGAAGACGAAGTTGCTGCTGCTCAGACTAATCCACGTTCCTGTATTTCGACTGCCCCCACTTCTTTGTTGCCACTCCTGTATACTCCTGACAAATGACCCCGAGCCGCTGCAACCAATCTTACTGCTGCCGGGCCGCTGTCTGCCACGTAGAGACGCAGAGGCTGCACAGGGATATATCGTTTCAGCTAGAGCTAGCAAAGCTGGCTCGGAAGTGTCAGAGTCGACTACCTTGCAACACCTTGAGACACTCGCCATCACCGCCGCTATTCCTACAATCGGAGACAGAAAGCAGAGCTCCGGGTCCGACCCTTCGGGGGTCTATCGTGATGACGATGCCCTTTGGGTTGTTGAAGCGCGCCTCCGGGCAACTACACGGCAGTGTCTTCCGGTGAGTCTCTCGATGGAGGGGGCCCCCCGCGCCTTCAGCCGACTGCCATCCACATGGCCGGGGAGACCTCGAGCGCCTGCGTACTCCTGACCAGACACACTTAGCCTCTCAACGCAAAACTCCTGCTGCTCTTGCACTCAGAACCGTTTACTGCCCCACGGAGCTCTCCGTGTAGAAGGCCGGCCAGGTCACGTAGCGGCTGGTGGCTTTTACCAGCACTATCTGAGGGCAGAGTGATTCTTCTGTGTGCATGCGAAACGCCAAAGCAAGATGAACAGGTGCAGAGCCCAGATAGCCGTGGTGAGCCTGGTGCTGCCGCTGATCAGACAGCCAGATCCTAGGCAAGCCATGTTGCTCGCACGGAATTTACAAGCCAAGGTGCCAACTGATGCAAGAGGCTGCAAAAATTTTGTGCAGACACCGCGGGTAGCGATCCCAGAGGATCCGAGAAGCACAGACCCATGCTTTCCGCGGCCCTGGCTGCCTTTCCCGGTCGACCACGGCGTTGGAGGGCCACAGGACCTCCCACTGCGTGCACCCTGCGCCTGCTCTCTGCGCTTCGCCGCTCATCGAGCGCCGAGCCTCGATGTACTGGTCGAAGCGCCCTCGGTGAAAGGGCAGTTTTTGGGAGGCGCCGGCACTCCGAAAGAGGTCCCAGCAGGCATGTAGTGATCAAAGTGCCCGACGGTCCGGCGTTGTCCGGTTGTGCTCCAGCACGCGGGAGCCCAGATAGCCGCTGGCCTCCCCCAAAGAGAGCGCTGAGATCACAGAGGAAAAGAGATTTCCGACCTGGTAGTAGCGGTTCTGGAAGCCAGGCCTTGGTGGCGCCAAGCCCAGCGCAGAAGAAGCTTCTCTCACTTTTTCGCGCACCGTCCTTGCGGGCCCGTTTCATGGGATGCACGCTCCGGCTCAGGATCGACTTCGGGGATGGGCTGCTTATGCCGGCTTCTACATGCACGCTCAGGCCAGCACTGTTGGAAGCCTGGGCCAGCATTCCGAGCTGAGAGCTTACTTTGGATCCAGAGCGAGTATCCAAGGTTTGGGGGTTTGTACCTCCCAGACTATCAGACTATGCTGAGAGCGTTTGTCCCAAGACTCACAACCTATCCACTGCACACCGTCTTTGGGAAGCGTCCGTCATTGACACCTTGCTTGTTCGCAGCCAGCAGAGCCTATAAACCCAGACTCCATGTGCGATCTCCTAATGCAGATACTGGCTTGCAGCGGGCTCACAAGACAAGCTTGCCACCGAGCATTTATGCACCCGTTGCTGTCAATCTTTTCCTACAGGGGTCATCAACACACATGGCCCTAGTTTGATGGCAAGCCCAGGTTGGATTGCCCAAGATGGTATGAACCCCTGCGAACTGAGGAGGCGATCAGTGATGTGATCAAGACCAGAGAGAAGACCCCCACACTTGGCGCCCCTGCTGACCGGAGCGCCGGGTCCCGTGTTTTGTGCCAGGGCCTGTTGGAATAAGAACTCTCGGCAGTCCATGGTTTATAGGGTATCCCGAACGCGTCCTGGAGGGCAAGTGACAGAACCGAAAGCTCGACACAAGTGAGCCATGTCCAACCCATGGCAGGCCCTACTACACAATGGCAAAGTTTGATCTGCAGCTGCACGGTTTGGGGTCTCATGGGTCTCACATGTAGCTGCGCTGAAGAGGGGATGACGGGGCAAGGCAAGTTTTGCAGGTGTATGCGTGGACGTCTTGCTGTATGGGGCACAAAACCATGCAGTGGCCGTGTTCCAATTGTCTATGTACAGCTTGCAAGAGCCGGTTCACGAAGAGCATGAGCAGGTTCGCTACTTCTGAAGATGTGGTCCACGGCAGACCGCATGACTGAACCGAATCATCTCTCACAAGGGCCATCGCCTCACTCCTCGTAACTGCCCCTAGGGGCTCTGGGCCCCTGGGACGCTAGATTTGAGTCCTGTTGCGTCCGAAGTCTAGCCCGACTTTGCGACGGAGATGCTGCAAACTGAGGATGTGGAGAGAAGGCCGGACGAAGGGTTCTCGTACACATAAAATCTGTGCGAAGAGTCTGCAGCTTTCACTCGCCGCGGCATGTCATCTCCACTAGTCTTTTCGGGGACCTCCGTGAGAAAGACGCCCTTGGAAGCCACGCAACCCGAAAGCCTGCACCCAAATCCCCGGAGCCTCCACTGACGAAAGCAATAATAACTTGGCAGTGAGACTTGTGGTTCTAAGCTCCCTTCTTCTGGGCTGCCGGAAATCGGAAACATCAGACGATCCTGCCCTGAACCCAATGCTAGGTATTTCCGGCAGCACACTGCCAGGCTTGCAAGAAGTGCGACCGGGCGCAGCTCGGCATGCTGACCACGTTACATGAAACTTTCAAGCAACCTCACTGGATGAAAATTAGACTGTCTAAACCGTGGAACTTCAAGACTTCGCTGAGGTTTGAAGTCCTTCTTCATAAGCTCTCCACCCGAGCCCGCTCAGCGCCCCGGCGGCGGCATTCCCATCATGCCCATACCTGGCTGGCTCTATGCCGTTCTGCAACACTTGCACGGGGTATCAAGGTCTTGAAGTATCCTGCGGCACGCTTGAGCACAGCATCGCTTCATGCCGCTTGGACGGGGTCTGAGCTCGCTGGGGTTTGCTGAAAACCGCCGGCCTGGAGGAGGCATACCTTAGACACGCAGCGGTGTAGAGAAAGTTCTAAGATTCTAAGCGGTGCACTCGCGATCACTCGCGTCAGCAGCAGTCTAGGCCTGCAGCCAAGTTGCTATACATTGCCGGGATCATGCCCGGAGGGCCCATGCCAGGCAGAGGCATTGTGTACATGGCCGGTACACCTGAGAGGTTTGAAGGATTTCTAGCATCCGAGGATTCTCGGCTGCGAGTTGTTTCTAAGCTTGTCCGTGAAGAACGACCGTGCACGGGAGCGCGTCTGCAACACACGGAATCCCATCAGGGACATGTCAATTCTCGCTTGCCTCTCTTCGATTTGGTCTCTGGCCTCCTGGTCCGGGCACGTGAGGCAGGCCGTACCTTACATCTCGGAGACTTTCAAAACAGCTCAGCCGTGGCTCCACGTAGAGCTGGTGGCAAACCCCAGAAAGGGAAAGGACAAAACGCAATCCCAAATCCCAGAGATTCGAAATTTCACGATGCCAGGTTGCATCGGCGGCATCGGCATTCCGGGTGCTGGGCCGCTGCCGAGTACTGCCGCCATAGACCTCGTGATCGAGCGAGCCAAAACCCCGTCTCCCGCATCATGCGCCGCATCCTGTCGGGGCATACAAGTATCTACTTGTACCTGCTTCGAGTGCTCCCATGGCTCCACTTGGCACCCAGCAGGAACTTCTCCGACCGGTTCCGATGCTGCGAGAGGTCCCAGCGGATCGCCACAGCCTGAATACCAACGAAGCGACGTGCAGCGCGGCAGGTGGCATGGGCACATGGCGTTTGAAGGCACCAACAAACAAAGAGGATAGCCATGTTCCGCCCTCCTCCCGCCTGGTGCTGCGGCGGAAGAGCCCGCAAGGCTTTGGCCGCACGGCTCTGGCGAGGAGTGGCTCGGAGGGAGGGAACGAAAGAAAAGCTCCACTGAAAGTAAAGAGACTGCTTGAGACTGGTCAGCAGAACAATCGTGTTTTGTTGTTGCTTTTGTTTGACTGTTGAGGTTGTTTTTGTTGGGCTCCTTCTTCCACCTGCAGAACATCCCGGTGAAGGGTCCAGGGACCAGGAGAGGGCCCAGGGAGTGAGGGTTTCGGCCCTAAGCCCCTCCCTTGAACGATTTAAGGCTTCGGCCCTAAAGCGTCAAGCACCTAGGCCCAGGAACTTAAAGTCTAAACCGAAGCTTGAAAACCCTAACCTCAACCCTCAACTCTCAACTCCCCCTAAACCCTAAAACCCTAACCTCAACCCTCAGCCCCAACCTTGAAGCCCGACCTGCCCTGCAAAACCCTAGAAGGAGTCTTGGGCGGCAAGCCCGAAACCGGGCACATATATTTGGGGGGAGGGGGTGCGCGTTTCTCGCCATCAGTTGACCTACCTTGCGCCGGGGGGGGGGGAGTTGTTAATCAAGACTTCCCATTGCTGCTGATGCCTCTTCGACGGGCATTTGGGAATCCCTTGCTCGCACCTTGAAACCTCTTAAGCCTGGTGCGGCCTTGAAACGGGAGGACTTTCGGGTCGAGTGTCGCGCTTACTGCACGTCCCAAAGTCTCGAAGGAAGCCCGAAGCCTCCAGACCCTGAATCTGAATCGGTGTGGGAAACCTCACCCGAAGTCACCATCCCACACTCCCACGCCAGCTTCAGGGGGCCCCCACGTCTAGGTGGTTGTCCTGCAGCAGGTAGCGTTCACAGCTTCTCGATTGGATCGTGGCTTCGTGGCTGCTTTAGAGTCGGTTGCTTCACGCAGCGATCTGATCACTGCGGGCATATGATACGTCCTTCATAAAGTAGCACCGGACAGCTGGCTAATGCACATCTGCTCACACGAGCGTCAGACCTGAGGACCTGCAATTCTTCAGACTTAAGCTGATTTTCACCGACTTCGAACCGGAACCTTGGAGAGTGCAACGGAGGCGGCATCGCGAGCCCTGTGCCCTGATCGCCTTTATTCTGCTTCCCCCTGGCCATTGGTACAAGCACAAGGTGAGACCGCCTCGATGTACTTGGCAACAGCCTGTGCCGTCGCTTGAAGCCTGCAACATGAGCATCTTCCAATGAGTGTACACGGCTTGGACCGTGAAGTCCGTCTTGCTTGGTCATCCAACCCTCGCAGAACCGATGACTGTCTCTCCTTCGATCTGAAGAAAATGCATTGCAGCAGCAGGCCCCGGCCTAAACCTCAAAGGCTGAGGCTTCGGCATCGCGTCTCCCCAAAAACCCAGTGAATCGGACCCGCCTGCTGAAAATGATCGCGGCGCTCTACGGTGCTGGCGAACATGCACTTCAGCCAACGTAGACTCGAAGTCTCACACTTGTTAGGACATGCAAGGCCAACCCCCGTCCTGGAGATGCACAAAATGACCGCATGCCCACTACCAGAACAGAACACGTTGGATGCGTGGAGTTGAACACTTGAGCCATGCGTTGCAGACCTCGGTGTGCTTGGGATTCACCTCAAGGACACTTGGACTGCTCGTAGAATTTCTAAGCCCCGATTCCTGGGAGAGGGAGGTTCAAGCTTTAGTCAGTCAGGCCGTGTAGGGTTTGTGCTGCTTAGACCTTGCTGGTGGGCCATGACCCTGAACTCCCGGGAACCACCCGAGCTCCAGTTCAAGCATTGTCCACACTTTCCTCTCCGAGAGTTTCTAAGAGTTTTCAGCCCAAAACCTGCAATCAGAAGTGGATTGCCTGAAGCCTCCACAGAATCATCAGGCCAAAGCATGCCTCCTGACTTGGACTTCTCCTCTTGGTTCTGAAGCTCGCGCACTCGTGCAATCATCACCTTCGACCTCGGCACCGCTTTGTGAATCTGTCTCTGGCCCTCGGCCTCTGTGTATCTCCTTTCCACTCTCAAGCTTTGATTCGGAGGAATGGGTGCTGACTTCGCAATCGGAGGCCAGAGCACCCGCCGCTCGCTCTGTCTTGTGCTTCTGCGAACTTGTGTTCGCACACCCACTGGTTTAATGAGTGGGGGGATAAAGGACAGTTTGCACGGCTGAGGGTCCTTCCGCTCAGCTGTAGGCGTGAAATTTCAGCACCCTGGCCTACCTCTCTCTCGCTCTCAAGAGGCTGAAGAGAGGAGCGGTCCCAAAGCACTCATGCAGCTCCGTGAAAGTCTGCAAACCGTGGCTTCACTGTCCGGATAGCGGACAGCGGCGTGGCTTTAGACTGAAGGCAATAACCTACATCCGCATTTTCCAATCAGTCCTGGGATCGCTCTCGCAGGTTGCTCTAGGGCGGGGTTCGCCGGGGCGCACGAGCCACCCCCCCCCCCCTCCAGCACCGGGCCACGAGCCACCCCCTTTCAACTCTTCTCGGCACAAAGCCTTGGGTGCTGGACCGTCTGCTAGCTCGCTGTTTATCTCCCCCAGTCTCTTGTTCTTCTTCCTTCATGTCAAAGGGGCTGGTCAGGCCCCCGGCCCTTAGGCCCCCCCACGTACTTAGCGGGGCTTTCGGGGGGAGCAGCTCTGCTTGACTCTTGCTTGCTTCGTCTTCTTGCATTGCTTGAAAAGCACACGGACCACCCAACGAGTGGACGCGTGAGCCACTCCTTCTTCGTTTTTTGCTCCCCCAATGGGACCAGGGACCCGACGGATTCTGCACATCGCCGGTAAGGGGCCGAGAGATGACCTTCCGCTGGCTCTCCGGACCTTGGTATGTGCTCGGCCCACACTGATGCGAATCGCACAAAATAGAATTGGAGCTGCGCTCCAGTCTGACAGACCTTCCCCACACGCAATCAAATTGAAACATTGTCAAATGCACAGTCAAGCTTGATGAAACCGCGGCCGGACGGAGTCGTGAGGAGAATAGACCCTGGAATGACAACTCGCAAGATCTGCTGCTAGAAGTTGCGGATCGAAGGACGAGGTGGCGAACCCATGACCATGGCTGCAGCGCAGGCTACACCATGCTGAAATCTCATGCCAAACCTCACGCTGAGGCACTGAGAGTCCGAATCTTGGTCGCCGCCTCTGCGTTGATGTTGTTCTCATCAATGAACTGGTCGACCTGGCCGCGCATCTTCACACTCTGTGGATATCGCTTGATCTGACCACTTTGGGAAGAAGCACCCACCTCTGGCAGGCGCACCGGACTTCGCGAACGTTCCCGTTCCCGCTCCTTCCGCTCTCTCTGATACAGGCTTCCTCACGAGTACCGCGTCTTGGAAGAGGCTGCAAACCAGGATCAGCATGCTTGAAACTACTTGGCACCAGCACCAGCAGTAGTAGATCTGGCATCAGAGGCGATGGCTCAACGATGCAACAACCTGAACGAAACAGTACAGATCAAGACGAGAATGCAAACACCAGAACCCTTACGACCTGATGAGGACAGTGACCGTCTGACCACAACAACGACAAGAACGACAAGAACCGCAGCAACCACCACCACCACCAACAACAACAACAACGACAACAACGACGACAACAGCGGCCTGCTAGGCGAAGTCAATCAGTGACGAAATGACGGTGGCAAGATGCATGACAAGACACTGGCCATCTTGAGCAGCAACGCCAATGCCAAGCTAATCCTACCATGAAAAGCGACAAAATTCACAGCCCCGTGCACGGCTCCTCCCTCCGACGACGCCTTCAGCACGGTCGCAAAGAGGAGTTTGCATTTTTTACAATGGAGACTGCACCTATGAGCTTGCAAGTTCGATGTGTCTAGCACATAAAACAATCCTCACCGGACCAAGACACCGGAGTGTGTCGAGGATCGTAAAGACAAATCAACACATACAACTGTTTCTGCCAGGGGTTTGGAAGTCTTGCCATGTTGAGCCCCCATAGCTTTACTTCTGCATGCACAAGATCGCACGTGGCTACGTGCGTGGAGCCTTCGGGCAGCCTCCCTTCGGCGCGCATCGTTTTCAAACGTATTTTGGCAGCAACGCATATATGTATATATGTTTATATGTATATATTTATACATGTATGTATGTATATATGTATATTTACATATATATATATATATTTACATATATATATATTATATATATATATATATGCTACCCCCCCCCCTTAAAACCCCCAGAACCCTTGTTATCAAGATAATCATGTAAAGTATTGTTTAGCTGTGTGCTGCTTATAACCACAAATAACCACAAATACAACGTATAAATACGGATACAACATAGAAGTATTGCCTTTATGCTGCTTGTCTGCTAACTGAAGGAAGCCCCTGTACATACGATAACTACTTAAAAATATGCATAATCGATTAAAGTATTAATCCCTCCAAAGAT